TTGCTCAGAAAAGCAACTCTGGGAAGGTCCTTTGGTGGCAGCAGGCATCCTAGAACCTGCCTTCTAGCAAAGGACCTTCCCGAATGGGGAGACAGAAGGGACAAAATACCGGCCGGCCAGGACGGTTATACAGGGCTGGGGGCAGGTCAGGCTTACTTCCGGGTCTGGTCACAAAAATCGGGACTTTTTAAGAACGCCCCGGGATGCGGGACAAATTGTGCAAAATCGTGACTGTCCTGCCAAAATTGGGACGTCTGGTCACCTTACTCTTCTGGGGTCATGGGGCCAGCATGACTATGCACTGAGGGCAGGGCTAGGTTCCAGCAGAGACTACTGCTGGTTCGCTCAGGGATGCACCACGCAAGTGCATGTTTGATGCACACTGTGTGCGCAAGCACAGTACAACTAAAATTGCTCTATGCATGCGCAGAAGCAAAAAACAAGCTGTAGGTGCCTCCAGGAGAATCAATTCAGGAGTGTGGCAGGCCTGGATTGTTTCCGGTTCCAGTGACCCAGGCCGCCAAGCTACTACCAGTTCAGCTGAACTGGTCCCAACTGGTAGGAACCCACCACTGACTGAGAGGCACGGAATGCTGTTTCGTTCCCACTGAAGTGGTACCGATATATTGACTCACATTTGCATCCTTTCAAGTACTAGATGGGCAGTAGCTAGGGCAAGACCACCACCCCTGCCATGGGGTGCTCAGGTTTCGAATCTGGGTTTTCAGCTTTCTAGGAACTCAGCATCTTTAACTGCTGAGCTGCCGAGCCCCTCTTTTGCATATTTACATTATCAATTACCATAGCATATCCATTTTGTAATTTTAATATCATTTTCTTTTCACTTCTTTTTCATTTATAAATTAGGTATTTTCCCAGCTTATTTGCTATCTCAAAATTATTCCGTGTAGCAAATTTCATTTTTATTTCTATTTCATTAATTGTTAACATGGAAAATTTGTGAAAATTTAATTTTTTTGTGAGATATTTTTTTCTTTCTGGACGCCTCTTCCAATCCTCTTTTATTTTTATTCCCTTTAAATTCCTTCTTTGGTCTTTATCTTTTTAATTTACCATTTTGCAGTACAAATTGTCCATTCCTAAACTTACTTGTATCTCACAAAGTCCTTATTTCCATGCCTTTATTTAAATTAATCTCAAAATATTATTTCAGCTTCTTTTTAGTCCTTAATTATTAATTCCTTTTTTAGCCTCCATCTATAAATTCTACTCTGCCTCTTCCATATCAAAGTCACTGGGTTATGATCTGAAAAATGTTTTTGTAATATCTGCATTTTATTTTGTACCCATAGTGAGGTTCTTAGAAATCCAAAGTAGATTTAGTCTTAGAATAACTATTGTCACTTTGAATGTAACTAATCAGCATTCATTAAAATGAATTTTTTTTTGCATACAGCTCTCAAAGTATATCTATTATTGAGAAAGTTCTGTCAATTTCAGAAAAGTACCTATATTCTTTGGAGTTACCATTTTTGTGTCTCCATATCAAAATTGATAAAGGCACCATTGATGCTGCTGGATTAGGGTAAAAGTTAGGGAGTAATAACCCAGACTTTGCCTACCATCCAATAGTGCTTATAATAAGAGATGGGCTTGTTGATTGTTTTAGTGGGCTGTAATAGTCCAACAGCCTGGTCTCAGTTGCTTGGCAATTCCGCTAAGTGTCTCTTAATCAAGATGCCACAGACCAAAAGGCTTCAAGAGGTTAGAAAAGCAGGAAAAACAGCTCTGGGGAGATCATTCATCACTTAAGTGATGGAGACAAAAATAGATACCTAATTAAGATGGGGGCAGACAGAGAGGACAATTTGGATTTCTCGGGGTACAAGTTGATTTTCTAGAGCTCTGAGAGGGAAGCTTGTAGGCTGTGAGTGGCTAACTTCTGAGTTCAGGCATGTTCAAGTTTTATATTGTAATGAAGAGTTTGGCAAAAGGAAAAGGAAAACCAGCCTTGAGGAACAGCTTTGCCATTCAGCAACATGAGATACCGTATATACTCGAGTATA